GTCTACGAGTGCGGCGCGTCATCGGAGTCGGCTTTAGGCCTAACTTCGCTGACAGCGAGACTGCGGGCAGGAACGACCCGCAAGCGCACTCTTGGTGACGTGCCTCTTCGCAAGGAGTGTACCACATCACTCGCTAGCTCCTCTGAATATTGTACGTGCATTTTACGCATCGGCAGCGGACAACACAGTCAAGCTCGTCACCCTTCACTGCCAAGGATCGCTCGGAACAGCGGCTAGCAGTTTCGCGCGTCGTCATTCGAAAATGCGATGCCAAGTGCAGTGCGTTCCGATTTTTTGTCTTCGTAGTTACACATTTCGCGCATCGTCATCGAACGCCGCCGGCAAGTGCATTACGCGCTGGCTGCACTGTCCACGCGGCCGCGCACCCCACGGTCATATGGAGTGCTGTCAGTAAGCTTTTGTGATGCGATTCAGACGTGCTTGGAGCAGTGCTTGCTATCGCCACGAACGTCTATGAATGTCCTGAGGTTAATGAATTGCTGTAGATTAGAGTTTCCGCGACCGGCTGTAAGATGATGCGTTTGACGGCTAGAGCGGCGAAAAAGCATGTGTGAATCAGGGGCACGAATTTTTATATGCCCGTTTCGTGTCATTAATTATACTGCTAGAAATTCCCGTGCCACCAGTCTTCTGCCCATAACTGTTATTCAGAAAGAAGGCATGGGCCGTCATGGTGTGATCCATTTTTCTGATGCAATAAACTTCTCTCCAAATAAAAAAAAAGTTCAGTGAATATTTGTAATCAAGTACTTAATTATGCTAATTACGACTTCAGCACAAAAAAGTGTGTAATAATTTCAGTACATGGTTTTATTCAATTACAATCTTTTCTGTCATACCTATCACACCACTCCTTCATACAAAGAACTTGGTTTGAAATCCATACTTGTTCTTTGCAACTCATGAAAAGGAGTAAATCATGAAAAAAAGTCAAATATCACAAGACAAACCTGAGATCACAATTTTTAGGTGTCTTAGAGACGTAAAGAAAAGTTGAAACTTTAAACGCAGCTTTCTCAATACAGTTTTTTTTTTTTTTTTTGACATTATGCTCAGCCCCTCCACATGGTTCAATGAAGAAATAATTTGTTTCTCGTAAAGTATTCGTGGTATCGCTTCAAAATTTTTATGGAAGCACTGTGAGGTTATTCTTAGTGTCTGTGCCAATTTTCATCAATATCTAACGAGAAACAAAAAAGTTCATTGAAAAAGCCTGTCGAAAACTTCCGACAGGCTTTTTCTCACAAGTGTGTTTTGGACATTGTGCATTGCTCGTGGAAAGAGTAGCACGAGAATGACTGGACCGATTTTGATTCTGTTTTTTTTTCCTGAATCCCTGAACACTGCTTGTGGGTACAGCAATCTTCAATTTCTGTTTTGTGGCCCTGTTATTTTTCTAGACGATGATTTGTCCGTGCCATTGTTTCTAACAATGTGTGTTGGCAGCCATGATGATCTCTAAAAAAAAAGAGAACTTATTAAAAAATTCCGAGAGTTTCATACCCTGTAGCTTTCTTTTGAGTAAAGATCAACACCATTCGCAGCTTCCTGGCATGTTTTGTTGCAGCGCTAGGCTTTCCACGAGCAGACCATGTAATTGGATCGTGTAGCATTATGTAACTTGAGAACTGCTGAATCTATCATGATGAAACTGCATATTTCCCTATTCTAGATACTTATGAGTATGCATGCGAAATTTCATTGCTGTAGGTCAATAAATAAAAAAGTTTTTTTTCAATGCCACCTCCCCCCTTAAGTGTGTAATCTATTGAAATTGCTCCCAGTCGGCTTTGTTTACCAGCCATTTGGGAACATGTGGCGGACATTCACATATTATTGGTGTACTCAAAACTAAAAAAAAATGGTCACTTCCGTATGGATTATTTATGACTTTCCACTGAAGTAATGGTACAAGTGAAGGAGATGCGATACTGAGGTCTATGGAGGAGTAAGTATTGTTTGCAAGGTTATAATATGTTGCCTCTTTCCTATTCAACAGACAAGCACCTGATGAAAAGAGGAACTGTTTGATGAGACGACCTCGTGCATCACATCGACAGTCACCCCATAAACCGCTGTGCGCATTCAGGTCCCCTAGAACCAGATAAGGTTCTGGTAACTCATCTATTAATAACTGGAAATCATGTTTTTCAGGCGGTGTTGCGGCGGTATGTATAGAGAGCAGATGGTGACGAGCTTATTCAATAAAACTGCTCGAACAGCCACTGCCTCTAGGGATGTTAGTAGTGGTAGATGACTACATGCTACTCCTCGATTAACAATAATGGCTACACCACCAGATGACGCCACAGCATCATCTCTGTCCTTTCGGAAGACAACATATTGACGGAAAAAATTTGTATTCTTGGATTTTAGGTGTGTTTCCTGTACACACAGCACTTTTGGAGAATGTTTGTGTAGAAGTTCTTGGACATCGTCGAGGTTTCGAAGTAGTCCTTGTACGTTCCATTGTATAATTTGTGTCTCCATTATGGGAGTAAAGAAGTGCTGTGTGTACGATGAGTGTGGCTGGTGTCTAAAGAGAGAAGTGACTTATCTTACAGAGCCTTTAGAAGGCCTTGTAATTACAGTTTTGTCTTTTTTAGAGTGGTCGAGGGAACCCCGCCGCTCCTTTGGCGCAGTATGCGCCGGTGCAGTTGATGTGTCCATCGCCTCAGGAGAAGACGACAGACAATGTTGTTTTCGTTGTAGGCTTCGTCGTGACAGACGGAGCCTTAAACACCACCGGGCTAGAGGTCGAGGGGACCTCTTCAGTTTGTGTGGTGCCCTGGCTGCTGCCAGGGTTCACAGGGGCCTTCGGTGGGGCTGTATTCAAGGAGGGTGGGGCAGCCGAGGCTGTTCCTCCATGGGGGCTTGTGGCGATTGCCTCGGCACGCTGGGCGTGGTCCAAGGCGTTGCCGAAAACCAAAGTGATGCTGACCCCCCTCGCACCACTTCGGCATACGATGTGAGCGGGGAAACACGCTGCCGCGCTTCAACGAAGGTTATGTTCAATTTAAACTTTGTATTTATAATTTTTTTTTTCCATTTTCCAGGCCACGCATGACCTGGAATATGCAGGATGGTCACCCTCACAGTTTGCGCAGTGGACTTGTAGCTGACAGTCATTGTCAGCGGTATGACCTTTGGTGCCGCATTTCGCGCAAGTAAGCTGTCCTCGGCAGCTCTGGGAGCCCTGCCCGAACCTCTGACACTTAAAGCAGCGCCGCGGGTTGGGTATGTATGGTCTAACTGGCAGTTTAAGATATCCTGTTGCTATTTCAGTGGGGAGAGTGCTAGATGCGAAAGTGAGTATGATGTGCTTCGTTGGGATTTTCTTATTTTTTCTTCTTATTGTGATACGCTGCACCTGAATGACATTTACCTCTTTCCGGCCTATTAGAAGTTCATCATCAGAGAGGTCCATCAGGTCTCCATCAGATACAACACCCTTCACGGTGTTCATGGTTCGATGCGGTGTGATTGTGATAGGCTGATGCCCAAATGCTGTAAGTTTATGCAGTCTCTGGTACTGTGCGTTGTCTTTTATTTCAAGTAACAGGTCACCACTGGCGGTCTTTGTGGCCTTGTAGCCTGCGCCCAGCGTTTCTATAAGGCATTTGGACGCAAGGAAAGGTGAAATGCTTCTAGCTTTCTTTTCTTTACTTTCACAGTGGATGATGTGGTATTTCGGGAAGTTATCTTTCTCGTTTGGAAGAAATTCAAAAATTGCATCGGTGCGCCACCTCTTGGAGGGGCGATTGGTTGTGAAAGGGCTAGGAGTTCCCATAAATTTGGTAGCTTATTCGGCGGCCATGCCAGCCACCCACCACCGAGCCCAACAAGGGGACGCTGAGAGACGCGGAGACGCAGGCGCCAGCCGTACATGGCCGCTATAACCTAATATATCTACCCAAGGTTGGATATTTACACCAGGTTAATCCTTGCCGCCAGGAAAAATTGGAAGTAAAATGAAGTGAGGAGAATACAGGAAAGATGTAAAGTGAGAACAAAAGACGAAGATGTAGGGAGAGAGAGATAGGAAAATGCGACTGCCGATTTCCCCTGGGTGGGTCAGCCCAGGGGTGCCGTCTACGTGAAGCCGGGGCCGAAGGGGTGTGTTGCCGCCACCTGGGGGCCTTAAAGGTACAATCACCCAGCGTCAGCTCAACCCCCAGGATTCCCTTTTCCCCGGACACGGCAAAGTCATGCACGGCTAGGTGTGGGAGGAAGTATAAACTCCCCCGTTAGCTCGGGTCCGTGGTGTCGCTACACACCGAACGCCTACTTGCGCAGGCGCCCCTGCGGGGGTGTTTCATTTCCTTCCAGTCGTGCTGCTCGCTTGTGAGAGCAGCAGTGTGGAGCTTCGGAACTTGGTTTTTAGTTAGCCTCCAGTGAAGCTTTGGCACACTTGTCTGCAGCTCTGCAAGCCCGGCCATTTCTAAGATAGCCTGAATGTCCTATTTGCTTGTGTAAAAGCTGCCCCTGCATATAACTGGCACCCTGTGCTATAAACCGTGGAAGACTGAATAAAAAAAAAAGATGTTTGCATATTAAGTGTATTAGCACTAAGCCGCCTTTCTTCCACTACCGAGAGGCTGTGCTCTGAAGCTAAGTTGCATAATAAAATTGCGTAAAACCCGCACCCTGAATTCAGCCTTATAATTTTCACATATATTTTGTGTGTGTTATACAAGTACATTCATTCAATGTGCAGCCAAGTACATTCGATTTAGTGAGAGTTCAATGCAAGAGATAATGCATGCACTTGCCGTGACCAAAAGCAAGTCATAGTAATTAGACCTTCCTAACTTTTGTGGTCTATGCAAAAAAATTCACTATAAAAAATTTGGTGCATACTGTGAGTTTCGTTGTTGTGAGACTGAACTGTGTGGTCAAAGAGTAAAGTGCTAACACAACGGAATTTTATACACAACAGTGTGATCATACGTGCAATTATCTTCTAAATGCACACACACCTCTACACTGGTGCTGGTGGCCATGGCACCCCGAGCGTCCCCTGCCAGGGCAGCATAGTGGTGCGACAAGTCGGCGGCCAGAGGTGTCAGCCGAGATGAATCATGGCTGGCGTGTGTGACCATGTCCTGCGCCACTCGGGCCACCTCCTTGGCCGACCGAACCATGCGGGTCTGGTAGTCCACATAAGACAACTCGGGCTCCACTGCACTGCTGTAGCTGCGGCCAGACAAAAACAAGGTCTCTTTGTAAGCAAACGCACGCACGTGCGCGTGTGCGCGCGCGCACACCCACACACACACACACACACACACACATGCCAGTTAGAAACCACATTGAACATCACAAGACTTGCATGGCAATACAACCAACAGGGACAATTAGGATACGGTACATAATATGAAGGCAGTGCTGGTCATACACATTTCGCATGGTTAGTGCCGCAGATGCACGGAGACGCAGAAACCGATGCATACACACTGCTGGCTTGGATGAAAATGGAACACCACTCTTCGTTGGGCACGAACATATGTAGGAATGTAAGCACGCATGTAACAGGAAGTGCCACGTTCTAGTGGTGGCCTCATAGGACTGAACTGAGGTGACCTCTACATCTATCCCCTTGAAAGTCCTTGAAAGACTGAAGCTGTAATGAGGGGACGGAGAATGCAGATCACTAAAATATTTTACAAGTTGAAATGGCGTAGTGGAACAACATGTCGGCTATAACGTCTTCGTGTCGCACCATCACTACGGTCTCTGGCTAGGCAAGAATGTTGCACTGACTGTCTTTGCGGGCACCGTAGGTTCCACGCAATTGGCAGGCCGAGGTTCCTTAAGGGAAACTTGCTGCCACGGAGATGGTTGCTGTGTAGCAGTCAGCAGTAGTTCCTGAATGGAGGCAGAAAGCACGAAAGGCACTAGATGATGATGGTTGCGTTTTAGAACACCACCTCAGTCTGTTTCAACCACATAGCTTCCTGGTATTTGTCCCAAGCGGAGGACCGTAGCTTGCACTTGTTCAGGGCGCACCCACACAAGCTGACCCATTCGAAGAGGCGGCAAGTCTCGAGCTTTACGACGTCTATTGCTGCTGTCGGTCTGCTTATGTTTGCAAGCTACATCCTTGGAGACGAGATGTTCCTTAGGAGGCCAGTAGGGATGTAGCTGGGAGTTTTGCTTCGGGACTCTTATTCTCACTTTATGTCCCATCAACAGCAGGACTGGACTGAAGCCGTCAACTCCTAGAGTGTCCTGATAGCTGAGCAAAGTGAGCTGAGAATCTTTACACTGGTGGAACAGGTCCATGACTATTCGTACAATCCTCCCTGCCTCTCTGTTTGATTGTGTGTAGTGTGGGCATGGCTGAAGTCGTAAAACTCTACAAATACTGTGAACTCTTGTGATGCCAATGGTGGGGCGTTGTCTGGTCTCACTCACCTTTTGCAGGATGCCATGGCAGAAAAAAATGCTTTTGAGAGCATCAATTACTACTGGAGCTGCTGTGCTCTTCAGGGTCACCACCTCTGGGAACCTCGAGTAGTAGTCTACCACAAGAAGGAATATCCTCGTGTGTGTGTCCTCATGTGTGCGTGCACTAAAGCTTCAGCATGCAGCTAAACCAACAAGCCTCTCTTTCCTTAGTATTTAAGAGCCCTGCAAGGCACATGCGGGTGTAGGGGCACAGTTCAAATTTGGTGACTAAAAAGGCGATGTCTACTATCCTGGGCCACCAAACTGACTACCAAGCTAGGGCTTTGGTCCTTCTAATGCCCTAATATCTTTCGTGCAACAGCATCAAGACCGCTGGCCAAAAGGATGATGGGATGATCACCCAGGAGCCTTTCAGCCGGATGCCATCACAGACAGAAAGCTTGCCTACCACAGAGGCATACTTTGAGAGGTGCAGAGGTATCTCGGGTTTCTGAGGCCAACTTTTCTGGATGAAGAAGGTGACGTCTTAGCCCTCTATATCAAAGTCTTAAGCCTGTAGAGGGCGCTGGCAGTGTGCCCTGAAACATGTGGCCAAAAGGAGGTGCTACAGTCCACTGCACGTATATTTTGGATTCAGGGAGAGGGAACAAACTATTTTGGTTTTCAACTTGCGAGTAGTCTACCTCGTTTCTTGGCGCTTAGGCCGAACATGGTGTCAGAAGTAGGGTTACGCCATTAATGAGACAAGCCTAACAATGTAGTATCAACACCCGCTGAAGCCAAAGCGACAACATTCACACGAACTTATCTGGTCTGTGTCCTCCAGGAAACTCCATGTTTTCTAACTCCTGAGAACGGCCAATGTGGATTTCAACATTCCAGGACTACCCCTTTGTGGCCAGCCAGCACAATGCCAGCGATGAGGCCCAGGTACGGAAACTTTTTTGCTGCATGGGACCGCAAGCGAGATCCATTCTTTTGTCCTTGAGGGGTCTTGGCACTGGAGATGCTTTCTTTCAATTTTGTCAAAGAAAATTTAGATTTGCACTTCGTGCACCCAGTATATGAGATATACCAAAGTCATCATTTTTAATGCTGTATTCGGCAGCCAGGCGATTCTGTCGATGACCTTTTCACGGCGTTACTATAGTGTCTGCAACACGGCAGGACTGAGGACAACGAACACACTCAACCTATGTCATACAAGGACTGCTTTATTTTGGTTACACTCTTGTGTGTGTGTGTGTGTGTGTGTGTGTGTATATATGGCGTGAGCAAACAAACGTATGAAAACATTTATTAATTTCTACGTTTCAGCCGAGGTCTGGCCATAGGAACTAAAAAATGTTTTCATATGTTTCTCCCCTGAAACTATTTTTTCTTTATCACTGGAACAACAAAAAGATATATATATATATATATATATATATATATATATATATATATATATATAAGGAAAAAAGTGTATACTTAGGGGCTCGTTTTTCCATGTTTTGACACAATATTAATGAGATCTAACAGATAATAATGCCAAGGAAAGTAAAAGGGAAGTTATTAGACCAAATTGTAGTGTAAATGCGAAGACAGAAAAGTGGGTGAAAAGATAACTTGTCTTGGACAGGAACCGAACGTACAACCTTCAAATAACGCGTTTGATGCTTTACCGCTGAGCTGCCACGTGAACTCCTTATGAGCTGGCAGCTGACCAATAGTCTTTGGTATGCAAGGTTGCAGGTTCGGTTACTGCCTAGGTCAAGTTATCTTTTCACCCACTTTTCTCTCTTCGCATCTACATTACAATCTTGTCTAATAACTTCCCCTATACTTTTCTTTGCATTATTGTCTGTTGGATCTCATTAATATTGTGTCAAAACACAGAAAAACGAGCACTTAAGTATACACTTCCTTCCCTTATTTATTAACGCGGGTCTCGTACTGGCAGACTTGGTGCCTTAGGTTGTATACAAGAGACTATTGGTCACCTGCCAGCTCGTAAGAAGTTCACGTGCTACGTGACGCCATGCAGGCTCATAAAGAGTGTGCCACACTTGCCGCCATGGTTACAGATGGCGCTGACTGACACTCCCGCGCTTAAATTCACTTATATACCTAATTAGGTGGCTGGGAGGATAATCGCCGTGGTAGCTCAGTGGTAGAGCATCGAACGTGTTATTCAAAGGTCGCAGGTTTGTTCCTGCCCGCGGCAAGTCATCTTTTCACCCAGTTTTCTCTCTTCCCATTCACATTACAATTCGGTCTAATAACTTCCCCTATACTTTCCTTGGCATTATTGTCTGTTATATCTCATATATGTCAGAGGTGGCGCCATCCGGACATAACTAAAATCATCTAGTGTCAACTTTCGACACTACATCTATTCCTCTCTAAATATATAGATATATACACAAAAATAATTACAAAAAGAGTCAATATTCACATCATGGTACACTATATGTAGTCCTGAAATCTCGTGGGTTCTCTTCAGTTTCTTGCAGACCTACAAAGAGGCGGTGGCTCACCAGCCAGTTCGGTGCAAACAACTGGAGCACAATCACCATCCCCTGGAGCACTATCACCATCACGATCATCCTCATTAGGACCATGGTGTTGGCAAAGCTCAGAGGAGAGAGTTGTTCTGCCAGGCGTCGGTGGACTTCGCACGGTGCCGTGGGAGTGTACGCTATCATCCCATATTGGAACATGGTGTGGCAAAGCTTCCTTGGGAACTGCAGTCACCTCCGAGAGAGACCTTCCTTGAGGCAGAGGGACCAGTGTCCTATTCGCATGAGAATTTTAAAAGGAGGTCCAAAATGATAGTGCCTTTTGGACCAGGGACTGTCTTCTTGACCCTCATGTACTTTCCAACTTGAAACTTTGGTACTCGGGCAGCTCTCCGTTGGTCAACGTAATCTTTGCTCTTAAGCTGGCTTTTTCACCCTCTTTTGAAGTGAGCACATCTCCTAAGTGGGATCTGCGGAAGTTTACAGTAGATTAGCCACTGACGCCCAAGGATGTCCTCAAGTGCCGGCTATGTAGAAGATCTGCCGGAGAGAGTCCAGTGGTACTGTGAGGAGTATGTGGCTCTGTAGATTCCCAAGAAGTCTGTAACAGTGTTCTTTATTGGGTGTGCTCCAGCATTGCCAACTTAACGTATGCTTTGAGGACATGGTTAAACCTTTCGACCTGTCTGTTTGCTTGGGGGTGATATACAGCTTAAAAGCTGTGCCTCATACCACCGTCATGAAGAAAAGACTTGAACTCTTACAAAAATGACAAAACAAGAATGACATACAAGAATGAATGACATACAAGAATGAATGACCTACAAGAATGACAAAACAACACTCAGCTGATGCATGCTCAAATGGCCCAACAACATCAAAAGCAATCTTGCTCCAAGGCTGGCCAGGAAGAGCTACTGGCTGTAATGTAATGGTGTGCCTCTCAACACTGTCTGCAGCTTGGCAGATTTCACAGCTGTCAATAGCACTCTCCCCCTGTTTGTCCAAACCTAGTTACAGGTACTCTTCCTGAAGACGTTTCTTTGTCTTCACTATTCCCAGTTGCTATTCATGGGCTAGTTGAACAAATGTAGCTGTGAGCTTAGCTGGAACTACCGCACGTTCTGAGCGCATCAACATGCTGTCCACAACTGACATTTCCTCTTGCACCTCAAAATATGGTCTTCGTTTAGGTGACAATGTTTTCTTGGATGGCTGTGTAGCCTGAACGAATTGTGCAAGCCGCTGAAGCCGGCAATCCTCGGCTGCGGATACAGTGCAGTC